TTGTATCTATCTATTGTTGCATTTTACTTTGTTTTCTTTTGTTTTTTGTTTGTTTGTTTTTTACAGTAATTATCTTCAAACTTTGGAAATAATGTATTCTTGTAACATATTTTATGGTAAAAGATTTTAAAATTAATCATCAATTACAGGAACCTTGTCTCTTAGAACATTGTTAGCTGTATTCTTGTAGAATATTCGGCTATAAGAACTAAAGGTAATATTTTTAATTTTAAGTGAGGTGATATAGAATTCAACCACCCGAATATAATTTATCTTAAAAAGCTCGATATAGCTTTAAAATACAATCTTGACTTAATTCTAGCTACAGTTAACTAACTAACCAATAATTAGAAATGGCTGACGACTTCGCCTGAACAATGAAATTATTGCATCCAAACATTCACAAAAAGAAAAAAAAATTGTTAGCCACATGTGGAAATTCCCCAAACACAAATGACAAACTTCGAAGTGATGACTTTAACATCTTGTTTTCACGATAGGATCATCAGTTGACAAGGGTCTTATCGTGTTTCTTTCCTTCGTTACAAATTGTCTATTGTATCCTTGTCAATTGACACAAAACGTCAAACACGCTTAACTCAATTCACTTTTCTTTTTCGTTGCTCCTCATCCAAATTTGACGATTGTTGTTGATATTTTTTTATTGTTGTTCTTCATTTTGCTTATCCATCAGTAGTAACAGATATCCCTCGCTGCAGATCAAGTGACAAATCCCCTCGACACTCCAACACTCTACTCAGTATTCTGCACCCTTGTGCAAATTCATTGAAACAACCGCTTTAGTTGCCTTTCTTTCACTATACGGTTAGTTTTAGGCCCACTGAAGTGACAGAGTGCAATCGATTTCTTTCTTTTTTTTTCATCAGATTAGGCCATGTGCAGTGTTGTGCAGTAATATGAACCTATTTTCAGAGTGCATGATGAAATTTGTTTGGCCTTGAAAAATATTGCGTCATCCGTGATTGCATCAGATTTTCACCACACCCAGACACTATTGTCTCAACTGTCGATTAGATGTCCTACTCCAATGAAGCGTACGAAAATTGTAACGCTGAACGAAAACACTGGCAAGCATTACCAGTAAGCAAATCAATGTACTATAGACTGGCCCGGAAACTCTCCTGATTTAAATACAATCGAGAATCTGTAGTCAAAGAACGACTTCGTGGAATGGGCATATGAAGTTCTAACCTGAGCACTAAGTCATGTCTCATTAAAAAAATACAAAGAAAAGTAAATAATAACGGAATTATCCCTTTTGTTTCAATTAATTTGCACAAAGGTGGAGGTGATTCTTCAAAAGAATTATCTTGGCTATTCAATATACGATATTAATTAGAAGCGCAACTGTCGTGTGCATATTTTCACGGTGTTTTCACTTCTCTCCATGTGCCCAAGCAGAATAATTAAACAAGTACCAACATTTAGGTTAGCCAAGTACACCACGTTCCATCAATTCCCGCGGAGAAGGGTTATGAAACAAGGTTGGTTGAATGATGAATGGTCATACGCGTATTTATGGTCCAATGACGAAAATTAGTCGGTTCCTATGACCAGTGTGGCGCTAACAACCCACCCTCGCTTGTGAAAATGAGGAAGGTGGTGCCGCAGGGTTGAAATCCTCTAGAATAGGTATCCCTCATAACGTTAAAAGGAAGAGAGAACATATAGTACACTTTGATCCCAACCTGAACACCTAAAGACAGGTTAAACACACACACACACGGTTTGGAATTCGGATTGACCTTCTCCTAGACTGGTTACCAATCAAAAACTAGTGAACCTAGCCGGTTCTGTTGTTTAACTTCATACCATTCCGAAGTGTATTTGTGTGAAAATGATTGCAACGAGCTCGATCTGAATTTGAACTCGTCGTGTCGGTAACCGTTACGCAACGAGTAGATTCGTGTTCCGTCTATCTTAGTTTTGGTTTCACTTGATGGGATTCATTTTATCTCTTTATTATCCAGTCCCATAGCCTGGATTGGATGACATGATTTAATTTCAAATTCCCAAAGAACATTAGATTTCTGTTTTGTTTATTTTGTTTTTACTGCTTATGACAGTTCCTGGTTTGTGCTTGGTTAAGAAGCCACTCGTTTTACAAAAGTCTTAGTAGCTCACCGCTCCTACCCACACCTATTTAAGGCTTACGGCCAAATAACGTTGAAAAACCGGTTCCCGTACGATCACCGCAGTTAAGGAACATCGGGTCAGATCTGGTCAGTACCTAGATGTGTGACTGTTTGGGAATACCAGATGCTATAAGTTTGGTTGTGCGAGTAGTGTAATGGATAATAGCTCGTAATTGTTGATTGAAGGGCCGAGTTCCAATTCCAGTTGGGTTCGTTATATTCATTTACGCATTATATGTCCAAATACTCTGGAAAAAAGGAATGAACCCACCATGTCTCATCTAGCTATAGTTTAATTAGTAAGATTCTTATCACTAAATCATTATTATCTCCAGATTCTCACGATCTAAAAATATTTTCTGGCTTTAAATAACCTGCAAAGAAAGGGTCGGTAAGCCGTAAAATGCGAATGAATTAATCAATAAAATCTATTTATTTTTGTGCTTTCTGCTTTCGCTTATTATACATGATATCCCATAATGTTAGGACACATTTTAAATGCAAATATATTGGATTATAAAAATGACATTATCGAAGATTTTGCAATTTACAACAGGTATTTGATATTTCTTTTGTTGACGAAGGACCAAGTTAATATGTTATGCCGAATTGTGTTTGAAATGATAGAAGGATTTCCTTCATTTTCTCTTCATGATGGTGTCCATCTCACGTATGTAATATTCAAATCTTGGATAATATGTTGAACTCTTGTATATCAATTATGTAATAAATATATTTGGTACTCTATGTCATTTTTTTAATCCAAGATACTTGTATTTAAAATATGTCTCACTATTATGGAACATACTGTATATTCGCCATTATTTGCAATGATTTGTTGCCACATATTAGAAAAAAAAAAATAAAAGTGATAACTTTGGTGTAATATTCCGTAATCTGTTATTCATTAGAGAATGCTTTTTTAATAAAGATTGTTATAGCGATGGACAACTGTAATACTCCGTTGGTACAAGGTCTGGTGAATATGGCGGGTCGGGTAGAACAGGCCAATCGAGTTCCCAAGTGTTTTTATGTCTTATTCTTGCTGTATGCGGCCTTGCGTTATTCGCTGTGTACGCTGTGACTGCAATGCAAAAATAATGTACATTAGTCTACACTAAATTTAACTGCCACGTCTGATTAGCAGTTAAGATAATGCATTTGTCCTGCAGATTACATTTGTAGATTACAGTTGCAGATTAAAATTGGTAATCTGCAATTCCCATTGCAAATTACAACTGGTCCCCGAAAATTTAAATTATGAATCATCCTAATGGCTGAACAAGGTTAGGTACATAGATAGATGTAAATGAATGATGTGGAAATTTCTTTTGGGCTGCAATGATGGATCTTTGGCTTGTGAAATATGCTTCAGCTACGTATACAATTTCTTTTGGAGTCCACGACATTATAAGGCTCCACCGTGAACAAAAGACATGTTAGATACATGTAGGAAATAACAAAATTTTAGATTAGATGTTATCAGTTATATAATAAATATATTTGGTACTCTATGTATTTTTTTAAAATCCAAGATACTTACATTTAAAATGTGCGCCATCATTAAGTGACACACTGTATATCCGACTGTCTCATATCTATCTTTAATAAGTACATTTATGATTTCACGATGTCCTGTGTATCTTGGCCATAATATATATATATGGGTCTTATAGAATTTTTTTTCTGCTTATATAAGTGAAACTTCGATGTCCCAACTGAAAGTAGAAGAAAACACTGGTAAGGAAGTGGGTGGAAGAAAAGTAGGGACAGGTCGGTTATCTGCTGGCAAAAATAAACAGCATATTTGTGAATTGGAACAGCGAGGAGTTTTCTGCAAGGAAATGGCATTCCGGAAAGTAGAAAGAGCTGGGGATTAACATTTGAAACAACACCTGTTACCAGTTTACACATGTCATGGTTAAATGAGAAACACTTCCGGTTTGACAGCCAAAAAGAGGACGAAAAGCCGAAACACTCAACACGACACAAAATAAGAAAAAATAAAAACACAAAAATAGAACAAAAAAACCCGCCTTCACGCAGGATAATAGCCAAAAGTTTGTCTAACGGAATATTACTGCTGTAAGATGAATTTAATCCTCATTGGGTGCCCACTCTAAGCTAAGTTTAATAAATACGAGAAGTAAAAAGAAATTACAGAAATATTTTTTGAAATGGAGACACACACATACATCCTTGCGCGCACGAACATAGCATATATATATATATATATATATATATATATATATATATATAGATTGAAATAGATAGATAGATAATATTAGTATTCAATTATATATATATATATATATATATATATATATATATATATATATATATATGTATGAGTGCGCAGGTATGCAGAAAATAAAAAGAACACGTTGGGTGCATAATCCGAATTCCTTAGTATTTTTGTTTTTATTTTATGAAGACAGTGTCCATACAGAAGTAGAGCTTTATTTTAGGCCTCTAAAATTTCGCTTGAAGATGAAACGGGACTAAACACCTCAATGCAACTTAATTTTAATAATTATTTGTATGGTTTCGGCTCTCGTTTTTGAAACATGAGAACTGTTATGTAGCGAAGGAATCATATTTTTAAACAAAAATATTATTTATATATATATATATATATATATATATATATATATATATAAATTCCTAAGAGGACTGAAGCCAGGTAGAATGTCCAGGAATATAATATAAAAGCCTCAAACACTAATATTCTATAGTTATAATTTATTACATTGGAATCGTAATCACGATCAAATTTATCAGACATACAAATTCAAAAAGCTTTTTTTGAATTTGTAGGTCTGATGAATTGATCGTATTTACGATTCCAATGTAATAAATGATAACCATGGAATATTAGTGTTTTTGAAAATTTATATATATATATATATATATATATATATATATATATATATATTAGATGACATGAATTAAATCCGACAAATAATTTAATATACAGTATTTACATTAGTCGGACTATTGTCCTCATCTTTGTCGCCATATTTGTCACAACGTTTCGGCCGTTGTACGCTCCGGCCTTCTTCAGGTGGTTGGAATTTCGAACTGAACCCTTTATTTCGATCACTGGGGTAGGCTGTTCTAGTTCCACTTGCCATGTTTGATGGATGTCAGTTATTAGTTATCTCCTGCTAATTTTCCCTCTGAAAGTTCTCCACTGCCTTAACCAGGTATTGAACTCACCTTCTTTGGGTCTGTCACTAGATCTAACCAACGCCTTTATTCACTGTGCCATGTGTCCTTTATCCACTGTGCCATGTGTCCTTGGGTATGAACTTCTGAGTATTATAAACCTAATGTTTTCAGCATCATTTTTACCAGTGCTCATATTGCAATTTTGCTGTTATCATTGCATGTCTTTACCAGAGTTCATATTGCAACTTTGTTCTCATTGCTTTTCTCTGGCACTCCTTATTACTGGTTCCCATATTGTATTTATTTCTATGCTTGGTCGGCTCAGGAGATTTTTGTGGCCTAGCATATGTGCTGATTCCTTAAGTTTACGGATTTTCCAATGGTGTTCCCTGTCTATGATCTCAACATGATCCCATAGAGGGCGGTGATCTCTCATCTCTCTCCATATGTGGTCAGCCACGCCTGACTTTTTCTACTTCCCCTCGTGTTACAGCTTTCTGGTGTTCTTGAAACATGGCACGTGGAACTAGAACAGTCTACCCCAGTGATCGAAATAAAGGGTTCAGTTCGACATTCCAACCACCTGAAGAAGGCCGGAGCGTACAACGGCTGAAACGTTGTGACAAATATGGCGACAAAGATGAGGACAATAGTCCGACTGATGTAAATACTGTACATAATACCTCATCTCAGAAATATAGACAGACTCTGAAATAATTTAATATATTTTCTGTTTATTTGTTATTTTTATGGGTACAACTTTTTATTATTGGGATGCCTGATAGGTGTTGTTCTCCCAGCAAAACCTCCTATCCATCTTTGATTTGTCCTGCCTAAAACCAGCAAACGGCATCGGTCAATATAAAATACAACCCAATATTAAAATCGCAAAAGTATAGAGTAAATACTTTACTGGGTTAACCGACTACTACTAACCACTAACCCCTTGGCCCTCTCTTTACCGATCCCTTCTCTCTTACCTTCCCTCCCTACAACCAATCTAATGTATCCTTCTGGTGTAGTTTCTCCATTTGAAGAGATTTCATTTTGATGAGGTGAGAATGTCATGGATTGAATACGTAATCAACAACGAGGCTTTAGAGAAAATGGAAACAAAAATGACATTTATAATTCAACTCAGAAACAGACAATGGAAAATTCTAGAACACATAACGAGGAAAGAAGGCTTGGAAAATTAGATAATCGTAGGACATACTGAAGGCAAGAGGGACAGAGAAAAGCAGTATGTAACCTATCTAACGATCTTGAGTAAATAATTAGCAGAACAGAGATAAGGAGAGATAGCAAAAAGACAAAATTTACAAAGGACAGGAAATTGTGGCTTGCACACGTCCTGAAGGGACATGGCACATAGAAGAGGATTTTAACATTGTTTACTTATCTTTACTTATGGTTACGGCTTCATTTGTCTCAGTCACTTCCCCTAACGAATATCGTCCTCACGCTATTTTCACAATTCTTTCTTGCTTTTATGCATTTAAATATTTGCCTGTTTTTATTTATAAACTTTAAAGAACAAAAAAAAATTGAAGCCAAGAGCGGAAATGCTAATGGAAAAATACAGGAAAACAATGGCACTTGCCAGAGGCGAGACTTCCGGAATATTTTAATGATGGCAGTGGATTAGGGTCAACTACAGTAATGAGGAAAAGAAAATACAGAGAAAAAATAGATAGATAGATAGATAGATAGATAGATAGATAGATAGATAGGAGAAAAACAGAAAAGAAAATACAGAGATAGATAGATAGATAGATAGATAGATAGATAGATAGATAGGTTGATGTTCAACACGTCGTGATAGATAGATAGATATGAGGAAAACAGCAAAAGAAAATACAGAGAAAAATAGATAGATAGATAGATAGATAGATAGATTGATGTGCAACACGTCGTGATAGATAGATAGATTGATAGATAGATAGATAGATAGATAGATAGATAGATATTAAAAATGTAGTGATAGATAGATAGATAGATAGATAGATAGATAGATAGATAGATGAGTTGATTTAAGGTAACTTTTATAGAGTAAAAAATGTGGAAAAAAACTTGCTGTCAAGAATTTGGGATAGTGTTTTATTTTTGTTTGTTTTTTTAATCATTTCACCAATAAAGCCACTAAAACGCAATGAATTATTGGGTGAGAAAT